TTTATTCTATATTTTTCGTTTAGTTTAGTTTAAACTTTATTCATTTAAGAAAGAGAAATAAGAATTCTACACAGATGCGGTCTAGGCCATTATATTAGAGGAAAATGACAATATCAAATGATATAAGCGATTACGGATAAAACGTTTCTCTCTTTACATCTTAAAGTGTCTAGTAGTATACAAAAAAACTGTTAGTTAGTTTCTTTTCGTTAAGAGATCATTCTGACCTTCAGTGTGATCAGTATTTATCTTCGTCTCCTCTCTATTTTCATTCTCCACACAAAAATGTCTTTCCCTGCAGGGAATGCAGGTAAAATCTTCTCCCCTGCAGGGAGTGCCGGCAGGAAAACATTCGTCTTTATCTGCCGGCCGTTAGTGGAAATTTTTTTTATTCACCTGCAAACTGCAACCTGCCTGCACTGCCTGCAGTCCGCAGGCAGTTTACCATGCAGGTGATCAGCTCTGATCTGCACCAGAAGATCGAACACTTAAAACATTGAACGATACATACACAACAATGCCAACAATAAATATTGGATTTAAATTTCCAAATCTTGATTATTGTCTAATTTAAATTGGTTAAAAATGGTCATTTATTATTTGTTATCACTAAAGACGTTTAGAAACTATGTTCATCAATACCATGAAAATATTACGTTTAATGAAACCATGTTAAATGAAATAATATCAATAACAAAATTGATCAACAAACAAGATTTAAGAAGATCAACCAAAATCATGCTGAACAACGATGTATTCAGAAACCTACTATCGTCAATACCAGTAACGTATAAGCACAATGTAATGACAAATACTTTATTGAACTCAACCATTTCTACTGTTATCGTCCCTATTATAACAAGAACAATTGGTTCTGATATTGTTTGTGAAGTGACAGTTGCCTGTGTCAAATGTGGTGCACAGTCAAAACATCTAAAAATTTATCCAGTCATTCATTATTCTACAAAATGTTAATATGTTATTCGATCTTCGACAACAAATTCAACTATTCTTTGAATCAAATCTATCGAAAATAACGTGTGGAAAACGTAATTTAAATATGGTCAAAGAAATTCGTGTATTAAGATGGCCAACAGTACTACTGATCCATCTACATAAGAAGAAAGACGCAACATCTAACGAGGGAACCTTTCGAGGTGATTAAAAGCTTTTTGATCGACATCTAGTGGGTTATAGGTTATCGACCTTTCTTTTCAAAGTTATAGAATTTATAAGAAGAGCCTTAAATTGTTCATTGTCAACTCAAAGCTACAGAAATAAGAAGGAAAGAATTAATTTAGGGCTCTTCTTATAAATTCTATAACTTTGGAAAGAAAGGTCGTGTAGAGCTGGGGGATGTGTCATTTTAATCAGAAGCCACCTGGAAATAAGAACAAATATAAAACTTTGTTATAAAAAGAATATACTTTTAACTTAGATAATAAACGAAAAAGAATACTATTTTTACTTACTATTATAAACGAAAAGAATATACTATACTAAATACTATTTCCGTAATATGCATTTTATTTTTCAGATATACGATGAAGAATCTGAATTAAATTCATACCCTTTAATATCAAAGATGATTCGGTACTCAACGTGTTATATCAACAATTTCAAACATTACCATCGTATTTATTATTCATGTTTTCAACAATAACGGAAGAATTGTTAACATCTGTCGTCAAAATTGATGAAACAAAATTCTATTTGTTGGTATTATTAATAACAGGTCGATATAAAGATAGTTTAACAATTATTCGTCTTGCCCCAGAGAACTTTCAGCTCTTTGACAAAAGTCCATAGCATACAAGTAAGATACCCTAATATGATATATTCCCATTTTTGACGTTTTGCACGTAATGTTTTCTCCTTTCAATAACTTCCAATAGTCTTGATATTCTTAATATCAATAACATTTCAATAATCTAGGTCGAAAATGTACAACAATCCAAATATTAGATTATTGTGAAACAACATCGTGTGTCGTTGGAACATTTCAACAAATATCGCAAAAAGAAACTTAAACTACACCCGTTTGTTCCTTATAGATTGTATTTTTTGTAAAGAAAAAATTATGATTTTTTTGAAAAAAAAGCTGAAGTCACCCAGAATCAAGTTTGGCAGTAAGCTACTGCTATTAATTTCTTTATCTTGAGAAAATTCTATTCTACGAGAGTGTAGCGAATAGTTTTTCCCTCGTTTACAACTCGTGCATAAACTGAGAAAAAACGTTGTTTATCTTCTACAATCTTGTCATAAACTAGCAATTGCGGAGTGAACAGATAAGAGTGGCAAAAAAAGTTCGTTTTTTAGACCGACAAATAAATTCTTTTGCCTAGTAAAACGTGCTACAAAACTTTCCATCACGCTGTGGCGCCATCTGCCCATCTTCACAGGTTTTTCTAGGTTACTTGAGCAAAAATAGTCTATATTTTATTCCGAACAAATTCCATAATTAGAAACTAATTTATTTAAATATTTTCTATATAGCTTTTAATCGGAGGCTCAAGTTTAACCAAAAGTCGGATATACAGTGATTTATGGTTAGCAATTCTTATGGGTAATATCGATTCCTGACGGATTCGATAGGTAAACTCTAATCTTTGCTGTTGAAATTTCGTACCAGAAAATAAAGAGACGTAAATTTTTTGTCTCTTAAAACACTACACAATTCTTTTGTATTTTTCGTTTTATTTCCAAATGCAAAAACGATAAGTAACAATGATCCAAAGGGTCTGGTTAATACAATCTTCTAGATACAAAATTCTTTTATTCAATCCAACAGTGTATATTGTTAGGCAAATTCGTCTTTTTATACTGTTCGAGGTGGCGTCTAGACAATTCTAGCCACTTCTAGTTGTTGTTTATTCTCTTTTTCTTCCTATACCTTGACCGTCTTCTATGAAATGTAAAAAAAAAACTTGTACAAAGCGCTGGAATGTGTACATACATAAAAAATGTTTCAAAGTTCTCTCTCTCGTTATTTTAATACTTTTAGTTATCAAAATCGCGCTGGGCGCGACACTCCCGGCGAAAAAGTTCGGAAATAGCTTTTCTGGCTCGATCGGCCGCTCCACGTTGCGATTTTAAATTTATTTGTTCTTTTTCTTCTTCTTCGCCATTGTTAACATCTGTTATCTTTTCAACAATTTTTTCTTCTTTGTTGATACATTCTAAGGGATACAGTAGTTTTATCGATCGGTTAAATTGTTTGCCCTTCGACGTACGCACTACCGCCGACCGCACTCCGCCATCCGGTCCAGGCAATATACGTTGAACCAAACCAATTTTCCACAATCCTCTAGGCAAATTTTCTTTGATCAGAACTGCTTGAGGTACATCGCAACTTGGGGTACATCGCAAGCTGCACCTCGAATTTTGTTTTCATTTTTTCGCAACTTGGGGTACATCGCAAGCTGCACCTCGAATTTTGTTTTCATTTTTTCTTTCTCGAAGACTAAGTAGATAATCATCTCGAAATGTTTTCCAAAAAATATCTAATACTTTCTGATCTTTCTTGAGTTTTTTGAGTAATGTTTCTGACGAATCTTCTTTTAATTTAAAATCTGCATCGTCCTTGTCAATATCGATTTCTGGAAACCCAGTGCGATGATCGATACCCAGAAATAATGCTGGTGTTAATGTAATTCCATCATCCAATGTCGAGCCAACAAATCCGAGCGGTCTCGAATTGATGACCGATTCGACTTCGATGACCACCGTTTCCAACTGTCGATATGTAAGAAGATGACTGTCTATTGTTTTCCTTAAATTTCTTTTCACTAATCCGACCAGCCGTTTCGTAGAAGCCACCCATCCACGGCGCCAATTGGACAATAAATTTCCAAATAATTCCTTCATTTGCAATGTAATTTTGAATCGATGAATCAAATAATAGGTTCGACCAAATTTTAGAAACGTTGTATTTGCCAAACGAAATTGTTTTCCATTATAATAACCTTCGGTTTCCCACGTCGAGCCATGAATCGACGAAAAGCTTCAATGAATTCATTTGTCGCCATATCAGGAACGAGCTCCAAATGCACCGCCCGAATAACAGCGCATGTAAACAAGCAAATCCAAACTTTTTTCTGTTCGTTATCGCCGTCTTTGATAATTAATGGACCCAAATAATCCACACCCACATACGTGAATGCCGGCGCTTCCAGTAAACGTTCTTTCGGCAGTGCTGGCGGAACCGGCGGTTGAAACGGACCACCTTCCCATTTTTTGCATGCCCAACATTTTTTTATTATCGATTCAATAATTCGACGGCCCGTCGGTAACCAATAATTTTGACGCAATTCGGATAAAATATGTCTCGAACCCGAATGCAATAATTTTTTATGAATATTTTCAATAATCAATTCTACGTACCGATCTCTTTTAGGGAGCAAAATCGGCGTTTTTGCCCCTTCCGATAATTCCGGGTTTTTTAAACGTCCGTTACATCGTATCAACCCTTCATCGTCGATGAATAATCGTAAATGCTTGATTAAACCGTTCGACTGACCCTGGTTAATCAATCTCTTTTCTTCGCTGTAATATTTTCCTTGAACCAACTTGTCCAATAATTTTTGAGCGTCGTTTAATTCTTCGACCGACAAAGTTCCTTTTCTAGTGTCGATTTTTTCGAAGATCTTTTTTGCTCGAAGGGTGTAAGCTATCACTCGCAATGATTTTGTTAAGGTTGAATATTTTTTGATGATCGATCCAAAAGTGCAATTGTCCGCGACCGTAACCATTGTCAGTGTTGCCGTTTTTCTGTTTTCAATCTCTTCGAATTTAATTTCGTCGGCGGACGATACCAATTTGTCCGGCCACTGATCTTTTCCTTGATGTAACCACTCTGGACCATTCCACGACAAATTCGATGTTTTCAGCCCCAGAGTTGACATACCACGCGTCGGTAAATCAGCCGGATTTTCCGTCATTGAGACATAACGAAATTCTGTATTCTCGCAAAGTCGAATTTCTTTTAATCGATTTTCGACAAATGCTGACTTTAAACGTTTGTTTGCGATCCAATATAGTACGCATTTTGAGTCGCACCAAATATATTTTTTAACGATTTTGATCTTTAATTCTTTTTCGACGAATTTCGGAATTCGAACTCCAATTAAGGCCGCCATCAGTTCTAAACGCGGAACCGTAAGAGTCTTTATTGGTGCTAATCGAGTTTTCGTGAATGATAAATTCGTCGTAATTTCTCTGTTCTGTTCCACTCGCACGTAGACACACGCTGCGTACGCTGTCGCCGATGAATCATAGAAGCAATGGAGTTCTGTGACCACCGCTTCATTTCCTAAACTATTTTTAATGCCGATAAACCTGCTTACCGATATTTCTGAGATGTTTTTTAAATCTTTTTCTAGTTCTTTCCACTCGCTTTCGACATCTTTTGGAACAGGAACATCCCAATCCAAATTCAATTTCCACAATTTTTGAATCATCCATTTTGCACGCTGGATGATGGGCGAAATTAAGCCGAGTGAGTCGAAGTGGCTCACAATAATGCATAACATTTTTCTTTTTGTAAGGACCCCTTCGACTTCAACTTTTGTTTCTTTAATGTTCAAAACGTCTGATTTTTTATCCCAAATGAGACCCAGCAATTTTGTTTTTTCGCCATACAGACGATC